GCGGAGGGCGACCCGGCCGGGGCGAGTCGGCCGTGTCACCTAGACGCGGGCGCATCTGGGCTTTGACTGCGGGTCCTTCAACGCCGGAGGGAGCGCGTCTGTGCGCTCCCAAAACGTGTCTGCGGCGAGTTGCCTCGGCTCCGCTCCCCGCCTGCGGCTGTGCCGCGGACGCAGGCTGCCCCCCGCCCTCGGACCCCTGGGCTCTTCCCATGTGCTGCTGTGCCGCGTTTGCGCTCCCCTTCGGTACCCGCGTGGGCGGCCTAACTTCGGCCCCAGAGTCTGTCTTTGTCTTATTCCTTATCTTGTGTGACCTGGCAGATCGTTGGGGCAGCCTGTTTGGGGACAAGCTGGCGAACATAGGGTCAGAGAATGGGGACTGTGGTCAGGGGTGGGGTTAATCCACGAGCCGGGCTTCGGGTGGGATTAGGAAGAGGAAAGAGTAAGATATCGATGGACTTGGGGCTGGGAGGGTTTAAGGCCAAGACGGACGTTTTCATCCAGGTCCTGTGACCTGCCCTATCCGTCTGGTAATTTGGCTGCAAGAAGGAGGTGAAATGTTAGGCCCGGGGGAGAAACCGGGGAAGGAGATTCTCACCTCTCGCCTCGTTGAGTTATTGGCTCTCTCGTGACTTTATTTTGAAAACAAACGTGCCTATTAGGGGAGTAGGTTGCGATCTTTTTACTGGTGACAGCAAAAGAGAAAACAAAACCCCAGGAAACTGTGTCTATCTTTGGAGCAGTTAACTGAGTTTCTACACATTCCGACCCGGCCTTAGCGCGGTGTCCTTGGATAATGGTTACAGCTGTGGGGTTGTGATCCCTCCTGATAAGCACAGGGGAGGCTACCCTGCTCCTTCTCCATACCAGTTTCGCAGTATTTCAGATACAAGGGAAAAGGGCATGACTGAAAATCAATCACAAGAAATTCAGGTATACTTCACGCCCTTTCTGCACTGCTAAGAATGTCACTCATGCCTGGGGGGTTTGTACAGGGTTTTGTTGTTTTTTTAAATCTAAAGTGCACGAATAGGAATGTGCAGTGTTCATTTGTATTGCTTTCTTTTCTCAAGTTCTCTGCTGCCCAACTTAGCTGAGAGAAACCAGTTTTGTTTGATTAGTTTAGCCAAATAATTTTAACACAAAATAAATACTTTGCCTCAAACAAAACTTTAGTGTGGGTCTTAGTAAATTTTAAGGTGTCATAGGATATATGTAATGGGTCGGATTTAAAGTACAGATTGTATATTAAATACTGCTCTGATAGTGAATGGTATGTAAAACTGGTTTAAATTTCCTCGAAGAAATTACTTTATTTGGTAATTTCAAAACTAGTCAACCTCTAAAGCTTAAGTCCATATTTATGATCAATACATTTGATTTTTTATTTAAGCTGCCTTTTCTCTTTGAGAAGTAGGTGTTTATGTTAGCAAGGTTGGCCCCAGGAGACAGCTTTATCAGTGTAGTTTGCTGAGTAGATAGTCCGTCAAATTCTCTGGGACCCAAGAATTTAGTAAGGAGCTATCTTAGTAATACAGATTTTCTGCACTTAGAATAGTGGCTGCCTATTGACAGATTTTTATAGAGTAATTCGGAGTATTGATGTATTAGAAACAACTATTTTAAGAACACTGTATCCAGTTCTTTATAAACATCATGGCATTTGAACATGAGAAACTTTGCCATTTGATTTGCACTAAGGTAAATCTGCTTTATTTGAGAAGCTTTTATATGTTTTGAAGTTTGAAGTTGTCTTGGCATTTTCAATTTACTTTATAGTTGAGATAATCAAGCGTGCTTGTATCTTGTTTTCTGATTAACTCTTCCCTCAAGCTTATTCTTTCTTCCTCAGTTTTCATCTTGCATGATAAACAACTTTTAAAAAATTACGGTTACATTCTTGTAATGTAAACTTAGTGACACAGTTGCTCTGAGTGGGTAGATGGGCTGTAAAGAGTTTGTTTTTAGTATGTGAGGAAATACATGTATCAGCATTGTTGACTGTGACATTTGTAAATTGCATTTTTAATTTAGGCAGTCCAGTTCTATAGCTAATCACATGCTGTGTGAAATATAAATGTGAGGTCTGAATACCAGTCAGTCATATTGGTGTGCTTATTTTTTTACCTGCTGAACAAGCAAGTAGAATAAGAAAACTCATTTTTAAATAAGAGATCTTCATAGAACCACTTCATCTTTGGTAACAACTAGTGAGTTACCAAGTACGAACAACATAATTGAGGTTTGATCATGGTATGAAACCACCAAAAGGAAAGGAATCTTAAAATTCTGTGATTAGGTACAGAGATTGTTACGTTTGAAGTCAAATCATGATGTTCATTACTTTTTGTTAGCTAGACAAAGGTATACAATTTTAGTATTTATACAAATTTCTATAAAACTGTTAGTAGCCGTTTATGGTAGCATTGGGATATTAGTTGATAATGGTAGAAAAACTCGCTCAAATTTGGCTCTCTATTTATATATATTTTTAAAAATATTTTTAAGAGTACAAGTGTGTGTTTATAGCTTAAAGAGGAACTCACTTTTTTTTCCAGGAGAGGGAGCTACTTATGGAATTTTTGAACAGTTGGTGATAACTAGATTTTCCTTATCTTTTATTGTCCAAAAATTAACTACTTCGGGAAAAAAGTCTTTTGAACTGACTTCATTAAACCATTCTTAACAAAAGTTCCAATGTAGTAAACATGCTTCCAAAATAAACATTTAAAAATCTCCTTTGATAAGGTACTAAAGAAAGAACTGAAAAATATATATGATTTAACCCATTAAACTTGTCTCTTCTGATTTTAAGGAATAACAAATTAAAGTTTCTGTTATGCCTTGAAAGGAGACGTGAAAGGTATGAAATGTCCATAAGATATATTATGCACATACGTTATCTATGTGAGGCTATATTGATTTGTAATATAAATTTCTCAATATGAAATAGTATGAAAGTACAACTCTCTTCCCAGTGTTGGATAGTTTTACTATCTTACAGCAGCTTCTCTAGCTCTAAGGAAAGTTGTTCTGCCATAGAATTATTATCTTCTAAAAAATTTTATAGACATCAAGCAACAAGATAACGCTAGTACCTTTAGCTTCTACTGTGATGCCTTCTTTTCTTCGTCACGTTTTTACTTCACCAATAAGTGTATTTTAATTACAAGTATGCCATAATCCTGTGAAAAAAATTGGGGAGAGGGGCTTTGTTGATTTTTATATTGTGTAATAATATTCTTGGAATATTAAAAAATTGAGATGTTGAAGTATTTGGCAAAATGGCAAGATGTTTTCTGTTATTTTATTGACAAATTTTTTACTAGTACTTGTACTTACCTATTCTTGAATTTTAGAAGTTGTGGGCATGGGAGAGAAAAATGCTCTCTGAGTTTCCTGAAGCCCAGACTGTATCTCTGACTTTATGACCTGGAGATAGTGAGGATGGTCTTGTCTATAGAAATAAAGAAGGCTCTTGGTTATTTAGGGGGAAGGAGGTGAGAATTTGTTTTACTATTATATTTATAGAACTTTATTTGCCTTGAATTTTCTGAATCATAGTTTTAATAGGATTTCCCTAATTTTTACAATATGTAGCTATCATTATTTAAGCTATGGGTTTTAAGCTTTCATTTCAGTTCTTGTAAATGACATAATATATGCAAAATGCTTTATATAGTGCCTGATGCATAGTAAGCACTCAATAAATAAATGTTAGACATTAAGGTAAAAGTGACTTTGTCTAGTGCATTTGATCAGCTGTTTTGAAGCTTGTTTGTAATATGAATCACCTTCAAAACAGTTATGATTCTGACTATCAACCATACCTTTAGTTACACTGATTTAGTCCATTCCTATGTTACAGGATGAATTTTACGGAAAACTTTGAGTGAATGTTATTATTTTTGTCCTTAAAAATAATTTCTGTAGGGGAAGAATATATTTTTAAGGTACACTGCCAAAGACGTAGTTTTTGAAGTAAACAAAAGATTATGGCCACTCACCTAATTGTCTGTCTTTGGACAAGTTGATAAACTTTTTTTATGGGACTCACTTCTTATAAAATGAGACTATCGGATTAGATCCTTTCCTTTTTAGCAACAACATCCTGTGACTCTCAAACTCTTGACTTGAGAAATTATTGTTTTTCTACTTCTCTTCTGAGCTTAACTTTAACTGGGTTTAAGCTCTTCTAAAAGGGAATTGGGGGATTTTGGTACTTTGTCCCTGCTAGGGGGATGGGTTGGAGGCCAGAATGGATAACCCAGTTTCAAGCTTGTCTTCCTACCCCCAAATTTTTACACATATGAAATCAGATTAAAACAAAACAAAAACCAGAGACTGCCTTTGAAGGAAAGAATATGAAGCTAATGGTAGCCAAGGATCTTGTAGAGCGATAGCATCTAGAAAGACTGTCTCAGGAGTTTCTTTTCCAGCAAAAGCTTAAGGAGCCACCTACTTCTCTCCCATTGGCTGCTGCTGTTGTAAGTACGTTCCCAGATTTAGGCTTCAGAGATGGTTCTGACTAGAGATGGTTCTGACTGCTCTGAAGAGAGCACTTTTTATCTAGTAAATTCATAAGTTTAAATCTAGAGGGTTTTTTTTCTAGTTTTTCATCGAAGTTTCATTGACGCTTTTGACACTTGATCATCCTTCATGAAAAAGCAAAAAAAATTAATAATAGAATACTTCTGCGTACTGCAGGTCCAAAAAAGGAGGAGACTTTTATTTTGGAAAGACTGTAGAAACAGTGAGCCTTAGGAAAGCACTACTTCCAGATCAGTGGAGCAAAATCATTTGACACCCAGGCCTATTTCTGGATTTATCCACACCCTTTGACCATTATTAATTCTGAGGTCCTTTCTGTACTTT